TGTCAATAGAGGGCGAACTGGATGTAGTACGAGCTTCTGCCGCTAGGGGGTGCGGCCTACATTCATAGTGAATCAGTGTGCGAGCCGGCATCATCGAATTAGCATTTGTTTCTTAGTTACGGGCGTTTTGGTAAATTGAAAATTCAGCTAAAGGGAAGGAGATTTGAGACGATAGAAGAGATTCAGGCAGAATCGCAGATGGTGCTTGACAGGCTGACAAAGAAAGATTTCCAGGGATGCTTCCAGGCTTGGCAGCGGCGCTGGGATCGTTGTGTTCACTCCCAGGGGAACTACTTCGAGGGGGATGGATGAATTTAATACCTGAGATAAGTGTACGGGGTTTTATACGCGCAGTCTTGAAACTTTCCGATCGCACCTCGTACATAGAATATAGACTCTTTTCTGCTCACCTCATATTAACATTCGGACAAAATAACTTCGACGAAAGAACAAGAACTGAATTATGACAAAGTAACAACAAAGATTCAAAAGTGAGCCAATAAACGCCTTGCGCGGCGACGTAGGATTTCAGCAACTTACCCTCACAACGTAGTTATCTAAGTTTCATCTAATATCCTTGGTCTTCAAAGTTTTTATATTTTACAGATAGTCTCCCCTCCAAAATTCTGTGCGCTTTTCTACGCCTCATCCTACCCACCAGCCCAGCCCATCGTACCGTTTAACATTTAACCATTCCAAAAAAAACACGCGACCCTACGTGACTTGCACAATATAAATCAGGAAGTTCCTCGTTGCGCGATACTCCAGACTGTCCTCTCACTGCACCCTTCTACCCGAAAGCACAAACTGTTCTCTCAGTTCACTGAGCTTTTAACGTTGAATAACGTTTATAAAATCACGGTATACACTCGACGGAAACTGTAACTGGTGTGTAACTTCTTCAAACGCCAATAACTCGAGACCTACGTAAGATAGAGAATATATACCTATATGTAAATTAAATAGTAAATAAAGGGCTTTCTCTACATGATGTTTACTTTATTATATAATTCATATTTTACACGTAATTAAAATAATTACCCAAAACACGTAATAACTATACCCTCGTTCCTTAACTTCAACCGCTCGTCACGTCTAAAGCGTAACAGTTAGATCTGGACATATTGCGAGTGAAATACGTAAATAAACACGAGCTTTTCAAATTTGCAAACAGATTTAAGCTAACTCTTACAGTTTAGGAGTTTTGGCCATTTTAACAAAGAACGGTTCTAGAGTGAATGTGTTGAGTACATGACGCAATACTTAGATAAGCTGTCGGCGGATGACGTCACGTATAGATAAGATATAAAGTTATACATTAATGTGTGAATAAAATTTTATTTAGTACATATATACTTCCTACAGTTAAACGTTATTCAACGTTAACTAGGGAACCGTTGTTCCACTGTTAATTTTTTTTATAATAATGGCCTCTCCGCTATCTACCCCGCTAAAATGCAGAAGACCACCTTGTTACACTGAAATTTCCCCCGCAAAGATGCACCTAACAAACCGTAAGCCAGCAAGGGACATGTAAACGTGACTTGTTTAAATAAATGATTACGTATCGGCGTTCAAAAACGTCACGCGCCTTTAAACTGGGTTAGGTGGTGGAGATAACAACTCGGCTGACACGAGATTTTTCAACAGCTGTGCCAAGAATGCAGAGGGATGTTCTACCATCGAACCAAACCCAACAACTAATCGAGATGTGCTGGCTCAATGCGGGTCACTGCAGTTCTGAGCTCCTCTGGGAACGGGCGTACGTTTTGCAGGTGAGTGCAAGTGTGTGAAGAACTGACTGGGGGGGGAGGAGACCCGAGACAACTGCTTCCCGGTTGCATTCGTTCTTCGAGTTTCGAAATCTGTTTGCTGTCGTCCCTTGGCCAAATTGCGACAGGACAACACTTTAGCTGTCGCAAGAAACACGTGTTTCTTAACCCATTCCGCTTAACGACGCACTAAAATACAGTTCGTGTTCCACGGCGTATGGAATGTTTTTTCCACACAACTGAATGTCTGTATGTACGTGTGTGTGTGAATTCGTATGCACGCACGTATAAAGTACGTCCATAACATTCATATTCATGCCTTGTTGCTATTTTATTTGCATATTTAATAATAATAATTAGAATACGTGGTCTCAAATTATCGTATGGGTGATTAAGTATGAGATTGGCTGGGCATGTAGCGCGCATGGATGGGACAAGAGGTGTGCACCGGGTACTGGTTGGGAAGCCTGAAGGGAAGAGACCTCTGGGGAGACCTAGACGTATATGGGAGGATAATCTCAGGCGGGATCTATGGGAGATAGGAGTTGAAGAAGACTGGATTTTGTTGGCCCAGGACAGGGTCCGGTGGAGGGCTTTGGTTAATTCGGTGATGAACCTTCGGGTTCTGTAAGCCATCTGGTTGGTTGGGTCCACTATTTGGGAAGCCTGAGGGGAAGAGACCTCTGGGGAGACCTAGACGTATATGGGAGGATAATCTCAGGCGGGATCTATGGGAGATAGGAGTTGAAGAAGACTGGATTTTGTTGGCCCAGGACAGGGTCCGGTGGAGGGCTTTGGTTAATTCGGTGATGAACCTTCGGGTTCTGTAAGCCATCTGGTTGGTTGGGTCCACTATTTGGGAAGCCTGAGGGGAAGAGACCTCTGGGGAGACCTAGACGTATATGGGAGGATAATCTCAGGCGGGATCTATGGGAGATAGGAGTTGAAGAAGACTGGATTTTGTTGGCCCAGGACAGGGTCCGGTGGAGGGCTTTGGTTAGTTCGGTGATGAACCTTCGGGGTCTGTAAGCCATCTGGTTAGTACACTCCAAAATAGCTGAAAAGCATCTTAGCACCAGACAAATTAGGGAATATTCAATACAATTCGTTTGGAAATAAAAGTATTACGTTTTAAAATTACACAGAAACACGAATACGAAATGACAAAGAGGCCTACAACAGAACACAAACCGCACATTTTATTTTAACATCATAATTAAATAAGTTTTACACTAACATATCTAAGAAATTTGGATGACAACGTCTTATATTAACGTAGACTTTAATGTGTAGTTAGTATTGTGCGTGCGCGTAAAATCCCCCCCCCCAAAAAAAAAACACCGGGCATACCTCGACGCGGTATGCCCGGTAACAAGTCGCGAAAAATACAGCTCGCGGAGCCCCTCGTCGTGTAACCATCCCTGGCCTCCTCGTGATTCCTCTTTCCTTGGCCCAATCCGTCCTGAGACACGTGATCTTGACCTTTCTCTGTTCCCAACTCGACAAGGTAGTCTGTTCACTTCTGGCGATACGATGTAGAGGTCGCCAGTGGGCTAATTACCTTCAACTGTTGAACCTGCGTCCATTTATCAACTGCTGTAGGCCACCCGGAAGACATTTTTTTTCGTTTCCAGCATTTATTTCACACATGTAAAACATTTCGTTAATTATCCACGTCACACATTAGGAAATCATAATCAATGATTACAAGACCAGCTCCTTACAGTATTTTTACATCACGCAGTAGCCCTCATAATTTACGAAACCGCTGAATATTATTTACATCACATATAAATCCGATATCCGTGATCGTTTTTGTCTAAAAGATTCTTATTCTTGCAAGGCAAATTTCAGTGCAACAGTTTCACACGTGAGTTTCGTAAGTAGGATTAGATGTTCTCACAGCGGTGAGTATACAAAGATGGCTTCTGCCTCGTGTAGAACACTTTAAAACCCTAGTGCATCATACACTCTTCGTCAGAGCACTGTGAATGGCTGTCACACTTCGTGTTCGACAGTCCGTGATACGAAGTGTCGAGCTGTGGTTACAGAACTCTTGTGTTCTTTGCCACTAAGACCAGCAACCGAGCACGACACCAACCCAGATCTTGTGCCGGATATAGCAACTCACGAGCCCTCATAACCTCCCTTTAACGTGTTTTATGACGTCCTTCCACCTTGGAAACAGACCTTTTCCAAAGCAGTTCCTCACCAAAATGGATTCCATAGCTCACCCACAACCACCTTAGCCTCCTAATTCCACTGCCTTCTCATTCGGTCTGTGGGATTACAAAAGCCTGTTCTAAATCTCTCAATCAG